ACGTGACGATTTGATCCGAGTTTTTTCTAACAAGACATATCTATCCCAAATGAGAGAAAGGCTGAAGACTTGTAAGAAAAACACGGAACGCTCTTAAAGAGAAATTATAATACATAGCATCTAAATGCTCTTCTAAATTTTCTATTTTTAATTTACATATCCATTTCGATTTATAATTTCTTGCCAATAGTAACCAGAGAGAGAGAGAGAGAGAGAGAGGAATCAAGAGGACAGACACATAGAGCAGACCACGTAACTGAGGCTACTTTGTTAAGGAAACAATGTGGTCGTAACATTTTTCATTTCATTGCTTACTCATTTTCTCTTACTCTTCTATACTGACTTTCTCTGTAGCATATTTCAATGTCAAGGATACTCGGTAGTGAGAAAGAAAGCAAGGAAAAACCTGTCGAAAACTGCTTGATCTAATGTTTCCTCTTGTGAATGTGTGGGACGATCACCACCGAGTCTCACAGTGAAGCTCACAAGATCTGTGATTGCAGAAAACTGCAAAAAAAAACATCAATATAATAGCCTGTGCAAAAGCAAAACCTGGCGATTTGCTTACTTGATGGACAGGATCAAGACCTGCGCAAAGTTCAAGAGCGAAATCATCAAAGGCGTCCTGCTCGGAGGACCTCTTGCCGGCATCCGCAGCTGAGCGTTGCCATCTTGCACAGAAACTGAAGTAGTCGACAAATGGAAGCAGGAATATTCCATTCAATTTGAAGAAAATTCTCATGTAATACTATCAAACAGCGCATCATGCATTCGATGCCCAAATTCTGGTAAATTCTTCTGATTTTTAATGCGTTAGTCTTCGAGAACAACACTATTCTCTTTTCAAGCCAGACCGTGATAAGAGAAGGCGTGTTACTGAACTCCTTGCGACTTTGTTTTCACCTTCACATGTCTTTCCAGACTTGTGTCAAAGGAAAACACATCCTAAGCAAAATGATCCCCCATAAAACCGGTTCTTCTGATTTATCGCTTCTGTTGGAGATCTACGTTGTTGTTCCCTCTGCTTATACTAACGTTCCCGCTAAAAAAACTTGTCACCAATTTCTTTAGACTAGCACTGATTTATGCGAAACAGTTAACACGTTGACGACAACGCGAGTTTTGGCCCACGTGGGACCGGGGCGATTTTGCGGCGCGGCCGCCTCAGGTCGTTCAAGCAGATTTTTGAGTGATAAATACATAAATAATGATCAATACAAAACCAGATCAGTAAATTGTAATGAGCACAACCTACCCAGGGGTACAGTAGTGGAATTTCGATCGAAAGACATGGAATAACAATGAAAAAGCGAAATTTTCAGAACTAGCTGCAATGGACCTCAAAAAGCAATTTTACGTTGATTATTCCAATCAAAACACACATCCCTAAGGTTCCTTATCTACTTCTACTACTATTTAAATTCACATTCATAAAAGAAAAAGTAAACGAAAAATTTATTAAACTGAAGATTTCGTATGGTTCAGAAATCCTCCTCTAAATTGAAGCATACGTGACCATTCTATGGGCCACTATGTTTGTAGCTACGTCAAGGTCTCTTCCATGGAATAAATACAAGAAACTTCTAAAGAATCAGGCGTGCGCGAAAAAAATGAGTGTAATGGGTGCGGGGGATATATATCCCGCACGGTCCGACATGGCCTGCAATGCGCGGGATATATATCCCCGCGTTGTCGTCAATGTGTTAAAGGGCGCATAGCATCATGTCGTAGCAGAAAGCAGATGCATAGGGCTCACATTATTCTGCACCATACCTTTATGAGCAGTGAAATCATGAAAAGCAGAATTTGAACTCACTGTTCCAGGAGGACACCAGCCACAATCCACACATTGACGTGCTTGACGGCACGAGCAATGGCATGGGCCATACGCGCTCGGCGATGAGCAGGAATATCGCACATGGAAGCTGCGAGAATCCGTGCTACATTTGCAAGGCGAATGCGCATCTCGGTAGGTAGCGTCTTAAAATGCACCAATGAAGCAAGCGGTCCAAACAATAAAATGACAAGAAAGACAACCTTGCCGTCCTCCTCACAAATAGCGCAAAATAAAGCTTCTATCGTGTCTTCGATTATCTTCAAGGTTAGCTCGTTATCCTTCCGAAACAATCCACTTCCCATAAAGGTAAAAACAGACATCACGTGTGATGTTACGGTATTCTGTAAAAGCAAATGTGAGCCAATGTAGGTAAGACAACCAAAAGCATGAGGGTGAGCTATGGACCTTGTGTTTCGAAGAATGATAAAATAAAAACAATAAAAACAGAAAAAAGGATTAAAATAGAAAGTACAATGACAGATTGGTGTAACATACAGGTGACAAGCGTACAGCGGCTGTAAGCAATCGAAGGGATTCTCGGAGAACATGGTGACTGTGTGTCGCGCGCATCATTTCCACCACGAAATCCATTTCCAGGTCAGCAGGATTTATCTTATACTTTCCTTGAATGACTTTTTACACAATTACAATTGCAACATTCGTGTCGTGATAAAACTTAAAATCAAACCTGGCGATGTCAGCATTTTGGTCAGTAAGCTTATCACACGTATAGTCAAGAGGTCTGTATCGTCGCACGATCTGAAAATAATGCCGACAATAACGGTTTCCTTGTTGTCAAACGAGTTACATACTTCTTCAGTAAAGTGAAGAGGGCATGGAAAATTTCAGCATCGACGATAGGCTTCACACGGCTATGCAGCATATCAATCACAAATGACACTCTTTTCTCGTACTCCTCCTTTGTTTCGTTCTTAAAGATCTGGAAACAGCATCAGCTTAACAAGAAACCTTGAAATGCAAGAGTGATTGATTGATTATATAGAAACCTTATTCCTATGAATGCCTATATGTCCACCTTTCTGGCTGCGGCGAGTCGGCTGCGACACTAAATTTGGCATTACCGAAAGAAACTGGGTTGAACCATTAACGACATTGCGGCTCGGCAAGGGTTAACACCTTTCCGCTGCGTGGGGCATGGGGCTCGATGTGAGAATAAAACATGAAACAATCTCTTCCGCACAGGCTTCAGATTTATTGCGATATTATATTAATAAGCAAGGCATTTTATTATTTATGGTGACCATAATTCGTTGCGCAAAAAAAACGTCGTCTTTTTGCAGGATAAGAAAGTTTCCTTAGCGGCGTCTATGCGGAAGCGAAATGTTCGGGCGTTGTCTTCTAAGAGCAGCGTTATGCGGAGAGCCAACAAACCCAGCATTGGAGCTAAAGCAGATGGCATCACCTGTCGTACCGCATGCTTGACCCCACACACAATCCAAGCGAATAAACCCCGTCCGAAACCTGAAGTAACACTATTCGCACTTTCCGCAGAGTCGGCCCTGTCTGCATGTTCCGTGGCGTCGCAAAACATGCAAACTGCCTCACTTCATCGCTGACACCTCAGATAATGGGTAAAACGGATCAACTGCTGATCAGCGGGTTGGAAGACGAGATGAAAGAGACCCATGAGAGAGTTCAATACCAATACTAATAAGCGGTGCTTGGACGAAGTCTGGAGGAAACTACATGCTAAAAATCAAGAGCAATTTAGAGGTTTTTGGTGGCAGAAAAAAAACCATCAGGAATAACTTTTCACAGGAAATTAACTTCAATGTGCAGAGCATAATATCAAGGAACCACAACTTCCAAAATATGTAGGATCAAGTGTTTTGTTAATTAAAATGTGTTTCTGCTTTCTTGAGCATTTTTTTTTGCATTTCGCGCAGATAATATGGTCCTTACAACGAAAAATCTAGTGTACAGGAAGTCAACTACTAATACTGCTGCAGCAGACTCCATACCAAGACTGTTTGTCGACTGAAGTGAGATGTGACATTCTCGTCAAATTAGCCGAAATTCCAACCTGTTGACTTGCCCGCTTCGTCGGCCAATGTGGGCCGTACATATGCGTAAGGCCGATGTCAGACTGTGCGAATTACGCGATTCGCTAGCGTCCGCGGTCGCGTTGCGGTACCAGCCAATTGAGTGATTCACTGGTCGCGACGCGACACGCAGACGCTAGCGAATCGCGCGATTCGCAAAGTCTGACATCCTCCTAAGGTAAAGGTGCGCCCACATAACGACACGCCGCTATGCAAAGAAGTCGACCAAAAGATCATTCTGCACGGCACACCACTGAGTTGGACACGCAAATGAAGCCTAATTTTTGTTTCATTTCACACTCAATGCAAGAGTGATGAAGCATGGTTAACGGAGGAATACACGATAAGAGAAGTAAGCGAGCGGGTGAAAGACTGCATTAGAGTGGGCGATAGCGCGGGATCGTCTGAGTGTGCTTGACCGACGGCAATTGGCAGCGAAAGATTTGACCTCGGCCATCTAACATGGCTCCCATTTGGCGCGGTTGGCGCGGAACGCCCACCGACCATCTAATCACTCGCCGCAGGTCTATACGTGGCGAGTGATTAGATAGCAGAGAGAGCGTAGTGTTGAAGAGGGCACAGCGATGAGAGTCGCATCAATGCGCAAATCAACGGGCAAGGAAGGGGTCCCATTTCTCGGGTTCTGGTCCATTTCTCATGGTTTCTTCTTTTTATTTTTTTTTTTTTTTCTTCTTCACCACTGCTCCGATGACCATCTCTACCCTTATTTCCAATGACCTAATTTTCATCGTAAATTCTGCTTTAGTTGTGTTCAACCATCGCCGTACGAAATTGATGATAGGAGAGAATGGATTCGCTTTGGCAGCCAGCCCGGGCGACGCAGTATTGGCGAAAGCTATGAACACAGCCGCATGTTTACGTTTTAACTCACGTTCGAAAATTGAACTTAGCGCAACTCAAGCATTTCTCGTTGAAACATTAGCTGGAGAAACCAATGCGGACAAAGAGGATATGTACGTTGGTCTTTAAGCACCACCAAGTGAATAACTTAGAATGCACAATGTCGCCTGTGCATATTCTCTAAACGGGATCATGCATCTAGTATAGTGCCGCCTTCCTAACCCACATCCCTTTTACCTGCATAGGCGCGCACCGTTCGTCTCTAAAAATATGAGTAATGATATTGAAAACTACAAACCGTTCTATTTTGTGATTTTATTTTATTCCTTCTTCCTCTTCTTCTTAGCGTTAGCCCCGCGCTTTCGGGCATGAACCCGAACTGTTCCTGGGAGATCGGGACCAGCTCCCGCAGTTTCGAGTCGACCAGTCGCTCGTACAGCTTCATGGTATGCGCAGTCAACTTGATCCCGCGGTAGTTGGAGCAGTCCATCGCGTCACCCTTCTGCTTGAAGATGGGGACGATAGTACTTGTTCTCCAGGCATCCGGCATCCTTCCTTCCAGTTACGTTGTTGAGGAATCGTGTGAGCCATCTTACCCCGTAGTCACCCAGCACCTGTGCACTATGTTGTGTATTTGACACCTTAAAATTGTTAAGTTTTGAAGGACTGTTAAACGATTATGTTGGAGGCTAAATAAGGGGAAATATACCAAGTCGGGGCAATGGAGAAGATCGAAGAGGGCAGCACCGTGAGAGTCGCATCAGTCTGGAAATCAGTGGCCGAAAAAAGGTGTTTCCATTTCTAAAATTTTGGGCCGTTTTTCTTTGTTTTTTCTTCATCTCTGCACCACTGACCACCTCTACCTTGATTTCTGATGAGCTGCCTTTCATCGTGAACTTCGCCTTTGAATGAGAATATCCTGAAATCTACTCCAATGCTTGAGCTTCATGATAGGTGAATCTTTTTGCCGATAGCTTGCGATGATTGCAGAACCAAGTATTCGTTGCAAAAGCTTCGACACTTCCGTTTCATGGTGATGGGACTAGTTGTCAGGGCTCTCAGCAATCGGAGATTATTTGAGAAGGTGATTTTCACTTCAGTTACTTTTTTGTGTGCGTTATTTTTTTTCTTCAAAAAATTGACGTTAAATGAAATCCTGACATCTGAAAGATATTCTCATCTTGGCCATGTCTCGTCCATTGAATGAGTGTGACATTATAGCTTGGAGAAATGGACGACGGCTTTTTGTACCACGCAATGCTTCCAGTTGGTAGATGTTTGATGATGTCATCAGTGGAATTGGATGAGTTCATCGCCGGTGAACGGAGTCTAGCCGAAGAAACTGAAGATCAGCAAACCCTCCGTTACTGGATAGCTTTATCGGGAAGAGCTGAAACGGTGTCCGAAAAAGTGAGTCAAACTACATTTATAGACTTCACGTAACTTGTTTTCAGTGTCCGATCCTTTCTTTCACCTAAGCGTTTCAGAGATATTTGATTTCTGTCTTTTATTTCTAGTTCAAAAGTTTGATGGGTAGTGTGTCAAATTCTGTTTAAAAAAATGAACAGTTGTTGTTAGTGATTTTGTTAATTCGAAAACTTCTAAGGTTTTGTGTTCTTTATTGCAGTTGCGTCATCTCTTGCCAGGCGAAGTGGCTGCAACGGTTATTACCGATATTCTGGAGGACGATAATGCCGACTCAAGGATGCGTGAGAAAGTGAATTCTGCATGCTGTCCTTCTTTTTTTCATCAAGCGGTAAAATTGAGGCAGCTCACGTACATTTTTTTCTATTTAGGCTCTTCAACTGGCGAATTCTAAATTGATCCATGATGGGTACTTTTCTGTTGAAGGTGGCATTAGTGTACAGCTCCTCGAAAGGATGGCAGCTGTTCTCAACAAGTGGATCACAAAGGACCGAAGAGGTCACGAACAAGTGAGTCAGAAGTTTTTGATGTCACCTTTTGAAAGTGACATTATGATCATGGTATGTGAGCTGCTGATGATGGGCTGTAAAAGTTGTGCAAGCTCTGCTCCTAATAAAATGCTTGAATAAACATGATTACTGTTTCATTACAGGATGTTCTGTGCCAGAATGCAGCGTTCTCTCTTAAATTGGTGGCGAAACGTCTCTGTAACCGTTCTAACACATCAGTGCTTTCCGACACCATGTCAAAGTGTATTGAAATTGTTAGTGTTATATTTTCTTGTTTTATATTGGCAATGTCATCGTTTTATTTTCATTCAGGCTTCTGAATACCAAACAGTCGATGAGTGTCTGATCGGCAACATCCTACTCCTCTCTGGAGAACTGATAAGGTGCGCATCATTTTTTGGTTGAAGTAGAACATTGCTGAATCGCTTATGAAAATGCCTTTTCTGCGCAGTCGCGGGGAAAATCTACAAAACGACAACAGAAAAGAAAGATTTGTATGATTCTTCAGTTCCTGCTTTGTAAGCATTTGAAAGGAAGGAAAAGAGTGACGATAAAATCTCATACCTATTGGGAAAATCGTTACAAATTGGGAAACCGCTCAGCTCGGGTGGGGGGGGGGGGCGAAGCGATTGCCAAATATTAAGCGACAAACTTAATTTTAATCATTTTCCTCGCTTGAGGAATCTTTCATGTAGGTAAAACCGATACGAGTTGGTGAGTGTGTTCCCCATTATTTATTACGACCTCTTCTCCATCTTCTTGGGGTACTGGCTATGCCGTCATGATAATGATAATGTCCCTTCACTTAATCTTCCATGGAATTAATCTCAAAAAGTGCTTTTACAACATACAGTAGTGGTGATCCTCTTCCATATTTTACAGAATTTTTAACGAAATGATTTTTCGTGGAATGCTTTCCATCACCCAATCTGTTATCTTAATGTATGTTGTGTCATCTAGTCTTCTTCACTTTTGGATTCTAAAGCATCAAGTTACTCATATGGAAGAAAAAGCTCAAAACTTTGAGGTGGAGAAAAATGTACTGCACGAAAAACCATGTCGGTTAAACACTTTTGACCCTAATAGTATCATATTTATTCAACTGATGGAGCTGTCGTTGTGATCGGATAGCATGCTTCAAAATATCGTGCCCTCGCCCTTGAACTAAGAGTGCATTGAATATGTGCCTGAAATCTTGTTGTGTTGCAGTGCGGATCCTACTTTGCCACTGAACTGTGGTAGTGGTTGATTTGATGTATCGATAATGGGCCCCGTTCAATTTTTGTGTCGTTTTTGCAGGTCTCTGAACATGAAGTCTACTATGGTGTCGGCCGTTCCATTGCTCAAAACGTGTCTCAGCATATTGAGAAATTGTATTTCTGACGACAAGGTAAGGTAGCTGCTTAGAGTTTTCTTTTTTCGGATTCCGCTTATTTTTTGAACGTTTTTGCATTGTATTAAAAACAGTACGCACGATGAAGAGGGTGTGCATCATTGAAGAAGTAGAGTGGAAGCGGGAAGGAATGAATGGGAGCAGGGACTCACCGTATCGCGTTTACGTTGCGAAATGTGCGCTAGTCGCAAGGTAGTATAGATCTAATCTTCATTTTACTTTGAAATTGCTCCTTCAAGTGTGGTTAATCTCGATATGGTTTCGTTTTTTTTTAAGTTTTGAAGTCGCATTTTTTATAAAACAGTCGTATTTTACAATGTTGTCAATGTAATCCTCTATCGGAAATCACCACTCAAACCGCCATTTTGAGTTGAAAACTTGTCAAAAAACCAGCAATCAAAGAGAGAATAAAAGTGAGAAGCTTCGGATGATAGAGCAGAACGTATTTCATGAGAAGCAAAAGAAGAAAATGGTGAAGTACACCGTTAAATAGTGAAGGACTTATAAGCTTGACGCCTGAATTTGAGCGGGTGGCATGGTGGATGTTGCAGAAGGGAAGGAAGGGTGAGTGGCTTCTATAAGGGTGATGGGGGGAGATCCCGTCACCCTTAATAGAAGCCACTCACCCTTCCTTCCCTTCCGCAGTCCCGGGATCAAATCCTGGGGTGTGCGTCATCCGGGCCAACCATGCCTTCCATCCATCAGTGGGTGGTTCCCTATGTGCCTGAATCTTGTTGTGTTGCAGTGCGGATCCTACTTTGCCACTGAACTGTGGTAGTGGTTGATTTGATGTATCGATAATGGGCCCCGTTCAATTTTTGTGTCGTTTTTGCAGGTCTCTGAACATGAAGTCTACTATGGTGTCGGCCGTTCCATTGCTCAAAACGTGTCTCAGCATATTGAGAAATTGTATTTCTGACGACAAGGTAAGGTAGCTGCTTAGAGTTTTCTTTTTTCGGATTCCGCTTATTTTTTGAACGTTTTTGCATTGTATTAAAAACAGTACGCACGATGAAGAGGGTGTGCATCATTGAAGAAGTAGAGTGGAAGCGGGAAGGAATGAATGGGAGCAGGGACTCACCGTATCGCGTTTACGTTGCGAAATGTGCGCTAGTCGCAAGGTAGTATAGATCTAATCTTCTTTTACACTTTGAAATTGCTCCGCCTTAAAGTGTGGTTAATCTCGATATGGTTTCGTTTTTTTTTAAGTTTTGAAGTCGCATTTTTTATAAAACAGTCGTATTTTACAATGTTGTCAATGTAATCCTCTATCGGAAATCACCACTCAAACCGCCATTTTGAGTTGAAAACTTGTCAAAAAACCAGCAATCAAAGAGAGAATAAAAGTGAGAAGCTTCGGATGATAGAGCAGAACGTATTTCATGAGAAGCAAAGAAGAAAAGGGTGAAGTTACACCCAGTTCAAAGTACGTGAAGTGAGCTTATAAGCTTGAACGGCCTTGAATTTGAGCGGGTGGTATGATTGGATGTTGCTTGCAGAAGGGAAGGAAGGGTGAGTGGCTTCTATTAAGGGTGATGGGGGGAGATCCCGTCACCCTTAATAGAAGCCACTCACCCTTCCTTCCCTTCCGCAGTCCCGGGATCAAATCCTGGGTTGTGCGTCATCCGGGCCAACCATGCCTTCCATCCATCAGTGGTTGGTTAAATGGTGCCAGACTTGTAAAAACATTGACTTGTAGGATAAAAACACTTTTGTCATCGATTGGCCTCGCAAGTCATTGTATAGGCCACATCGCATTCAAACGCCACTACGAATGTACAAATGGAAGTAGAATGCGTGCCGCATCCCAAAAAGGGATTGATCAACGGCAAATGCTTTATCCTTCGTATCCTTTATCCTTTATCCTTTTCAACAAGAGCTAGATCATAGCGTCATCATTGTTATTCTTGTACCAGGGAGGTACCGGGAAATGAAGGTTTAGCGGATTCTAGGTCGTTTTCCTTCTGGGTTTTTTGTTCTGCTGTACGGCACTACTTATCACTCCTTTTTTCATTTCTTACGACGACCAAATTATACCAACTGCTTTCAAGATCACTCCAATGTCATTCAGGCAGCTTCTATGCTGCGCTTTGTGAGTCTACACTCGCATTTCGCGCAACCCGTATCCGCGCACCACACATCGCACCGCAGACCCTGGTTGACACTCGCAGGGTGCTGCGACGATGAAATCGATTGAAATGATTTTACTCTTTTTTGTTTTACAATTGCATTACATTTACTTTCCCAACATGCATCAGTTGAGCTGGCTGAGTCCATGAACGGAGACACGAAAGCGTAACCAGTATAGTGAAGGATGTGCGAGGCCTCGAATAAATGGTTGTTGGATTGTTTTCCCAAATGGCACGTTGGTAGAAGGATGCGCAGGATATTAGCGGATATATCCATCTTTGAATTAATAGTTCCATTTAGGAATGCGCGCTTGACAGTTAAGCTTCGATCTCTAATATTTGCTCCACAAAGTAGCGTAATAGTTTTTGTCCTTGCTTTTTCGATCACTTTCGTTTTTCTGCAAAAAACATCCTGTTACAGGACCCACAGCAACCACAGATTCAGCATGATGATATCCCTACGAAACGTGCACGGTCGCGACTGCAGTCGCTCAGCGGAAGAAGACCTGGTGGCTCTCCTTTATTGGTAGCTTTCTATGATTTCGCTTGGTTTGTGATCTCTTATTGTCGCCTTATTGATAGTAACGTTGGTTTCAGGTCTCAGTGCTAACTTGCATCCAACGAATTATGGACCAATTTGCGCCATTTGTTTCCCAGTTCTTACCAGAAGTCCTCGTGCACTACTGCCGCTTGAGTGCCCGGTTTGTTCCTCGTGCTGATAGTGTTACAATAATGTGTTTATGATCAAGCAAGAATGAGTTTTTTAAAGGTATTCTGATTTACCTGAGGAGGGGACTACAGTTGCTGCTCCAGTAATAGAAAAATCTCAGAATACGCAAAGCGCCAAAAGCAGTATACGTCAGAGGTAGGTAGCTCTTCCGACAGTGGTCTTACTTTTATGCATGTGCCGTTAACTCTGAGTTTCAGACTTGGATTTATACGTTCGGCACTGCTTAAAATGGAAGTTCGCGTAATCCCGGAGCATTTTGCGAAAGCCGTTATTGACCTCAGCCATGAAGAAGTTCGTGATTAATTTAACCCATGCGACTGTTCCTATATGTTTTGTTTGCAGAAGCCCCTGATTTGCTTGTTTTCTCTGCTTGCCAACTATTTTGATCAGAAGAATCGTGTGGCTGTCACCTATAGCAGAGATATCTTGTTGAGGGATGTTTTCCTGAAAGGACTCGAGTTTCGCGCTCATGAGAGAAATGTTGAGGTTCTGCTCACGTGTCTTTTTTTTCATTTTCAAGTTGATCAACTTTTCTTCTCTAGAGCTTTGAGCAAGCTGGGAACGTAGAGCGCAGTGTGTTCAAGTCTTTGTTGGCGATGGCTGAAGTCTTGACAGAGAATACTCTTCGATCAGTGGTGAATGGCTTAGTAGACTGGGCCGAACAAGGGCTAAAACCAACAGCAACCAACGGCGAACGCAGTCGCCTAATCACGCTGTACTCTTTTGCGAACAGGTGATTTTTAGGGCAATGTTTCCGTTTAAAGAGCGCGAATATTTTTTCGTACTTCATCTTTCAGTTTCTATGACTCATTCAACACTTTGGCATTGCCCTTCTTTGGACGTTTAGTGGAAATGTCTGCCAAAATTTTAAATGCATGCAACGCTACTATCCTTACTGGTTAGTTGGATAATTCTATACAATATTTGTTATCAAGGAAACACCGTGAAGGTAGTGAGTTTGATTATACCCCTCATTTTCCAGATTCGTCGCTCCTCTTGATAAATGGCAAAAAAGGGACAGTTGAAGAACTTGAAGCAGATAACTTGATTGTCCACGTCATTGACTTCATCAGTAACTGCGCTCGACATCGGGAATTCTTCACGCAGTGAGTTCCTGAATGGTGCTCGTCGTTATTCTTTTGCAACCTTTTGTCACATTTTGTCGGAGCCTTTCTTTTTCTTATGTTATGACCGCATGGATTCGGTTCTCTTGTCCACAATATCAGCCCATGTGATCAGGGTTCACAATTGCAGTTCCGTGTCGGTTGTATCTGAGCATCCGCTGATCTGTTTGCTAGATGTTCATTTGATAAGTTATCCATTGAACTTGAGCAACTCACAGTTCGGAGTTCGAAAAAGCGGCTGATTCAGTGATATCGCAACATTCAGTACCCACGGCCGGAATTCGCCGCACGTGTCTCACAATGATCGAAGGAAGCTTTTGTGAGCGTGTAGAGTGATATAGGTGTACAGAGACTCATATAACTCACCATTCTGGTCTGATCAAAGTGAGGATTACCGAGATTGTGGCGAAGTTTTTTCTTTTTCCTCGGTTTCTGGAGAACAAATACGTTTTGACACTACACGTTCGGACCTCCGGTGTACATGAAGAGCTGGTGACGAGTGTGAGTTTCCTGACAACACCTTGTCCACTTTGTAAGCAGTTGTACATCACGAAGGATGTACAGTACTGCCGCGTAAGCGCCCCAAAACTAGCCTTCATGGGATCGCAAAGGTTGCGGCTCAGGTTCATGGCCATTCATGGTCACATTTGACTCCTGTATGCGTCTAGCAAAGCTGATGCCTCACGAGAGGTCACATTCTAGGAAAGATCTGACCTCTAGAGGGCGGAAGTTGTGTATTGAAGTGGCGCTGCGGGCCAACCAAGCCTTCCATCCCTCCGGGGTCGGTTAATTGGTACCAGACTTGTCTGGGAGGATAAAAACACTGACTTGTACATCGGCTGGCCCCCGCAAGTCATTGTATAGGCCACATCGCATTCAAACGCCACTACGAATGTAAATGGAAGTAGAATGCGTGCCGCATCCCAAAAAGGGATTGATCAACGGCAAATGCTTCATCATTTTTTACTTATGACCTCTGAAGGAAGGGAACGGTCTTTCTTTGAAACTACGTTTGTTCCCTTGATGAAAGATGGATTACTGTTATAACCTGCGAGTTTTTGTTTCAGCCTGAGAGCTTGCGAGTATATCTCGGTAGTTGTCTGGGGCATAACGTACTCCAATATTCATGGCGCAACCGCGTGCAATCTGCATTGGCGCGTTTTGATGTTTGCTGGAATGCAACCTTTAACGTTAGATGGCAGATCGGGACATCACCTTAACCTACTGACCCATTTGAAGATGAGGATAATATTATTCACGTCACGCATTGCTGCCGATCAGCGGAGTTTGTACTTGTAGTCTATTTATACGCATAATTTTCTACCAGCGAGCTTTCCCCCTCCCTTGGAACTTTGGGAGGATACCTTGGTAAATGGATAGAGCCAAGAGTACTGGTTACAAATATGAAAAGGACAACTGCTACGTGAACTTCCAAGCCAGATATGAGCGGTCAAACTCAAGCAAGAAATGCAGCAAAAAAGCAAGTAGCAAACAAAACAGCGAAGCAAACTGGCGCTGGATGGCTTCTGAAAATTAATGTCATATTAGTTGTGAGACTACATGTTACCCCTATGGACAACGTTTCGAACAATATTAAATGTGCTATTGCGGACATATTAGCTCGGCTCATGTAATGATGCTGCATTTCCTCCCAACTTGGACAGCTCACAACTCAGGAAAGTCGTAGCGCTTTGATCTTCATATTTGTAATAGCGTTTTGATTGTATCGAATTACCCCGGTTTCCATCCAGAGGTACCTGACAGGAGGCCCGCCGCGCAACAAGGCGAGGGTCAGATGAGTACGGCGTATTGTAGTGATTTCGCGTCCGGTTGATAGAATATATCAATTATGCGTTTACGTCGAACAGCACGCCTGCGGCTCATCCGCTCCTTCTTGCCGCGCTACGGGCCTCTTGTCGGGTACCCCTCCATGCAGAGTTCTATAAAACCATTCGCCGGTTGAAGGCAGCGGTCATGGTATTTGCATTAATGGTAAATGTGGTAAATATTCCTAGGAGGGAAGTGTAATGGGATGCCAGGCAAACGCTGTGTGGCCTTTTCGCGATGAATTTGCGGCAAAAGCGATATAATTACTCTGAAACATTAGGCATTTCCTTTTCGAGGGGCGGTCCTCCCACATAGATGAGTTAATCACGGTGTGCAGCTTGCCTTTGTCGTTTCCTTCTTCACTTGTCTTCTGTTCTTTGTTTTTTCTCTTGTTTTGTTTGTGGAAAACAGACCTAGTCCGTGTGTTTGGCTATGGGGAGGAGCCATGTTACCAACACGTATAAATTGAGCATTTTTCAGGGATCGAGCGGAAGTATTGATAGCGCCGTTGATCAATGAAGTAGTGAATAGTAAACTAAGTGGGCATGAGAAGCGATGTGTGCCACACGTTTCCGATGCCCTGTATCGTATAGCGGACACGCATCCTGACGTATTTCAAGATATCTTGGACAAATTGTTGCTGAAAACCAAGAAACAGCAGGGCTAAGGTACTGGTTTACTTTTTTCTATTTTCCAACTTCAAACTCTAAACTTTAAACTTTCCAACTTATCTGTACTTCCAGATTCGCTATCGAGCATTACTTGTTGTGGAGGCCATACTCGAGAAAGTCGGAGATGGTGTGGCGCCGCATTTGCCTATGATCCTGCCATTCCTTAGCGAGCTTCTCGAGGGTATGTGAATCTTAAGTAACGCAATGTCCTCCTGATTTCTCCAAGCAGAAAAATTTTGAACTATATTTCAGACGAAAATCGCAACGTGGAGGGACAGTGCGATCGTGTGGTGCGATTACTTCAAAATAAATTTGGGGAAAATATCTGCGAAGGTTTCATGTAAACGTTCTCACATTGTTCTTCCTTATTGTTGATTTTTTGCGCTTGTTGTTGTTTGATATGCTATGTTGTTATTTCCTCGAAATGGCCGTCAAGGCTACAGAGTATGTTGTAATTACATTTGTTATTGTTGTTAGGAGTTTGTTACATAGATCTAATGTACAAGAATAAATGAGCTCTATGGAAATCATCTTACTCTTGCATTAAGATGCGCACCAAGGGCGCTCATACCTTTGGAGGGGACATTCGCAACAGTGCATTTAAAAACCGCTGGCAGGTGACATTGGGGGCTACTAAAGCCCAAAAAGGGAAGGGATACCAGGGGAACAAAGGTGGCTCACGTCTTCTCCCGAAATCCCTTCCTCTCCCTAAGGCTTACAAGAGGTCTTTCAGGGCCGCGCTTTCTGGAAACGGTTCCCTGCATATTGTAGGGACGCATGTATGGACCACAAAACCATGTTTCGTTTTCGCTGAACGGTTTTAGTAGTATCCAAAAAAGTGAATGATACCCTTGATGGTTCCCCGCGGCGACTAAATTTTGCAATCAAGGTTGGCGGCCACTTGTTGGCTTCAAAATGGTCCTGACGATGAATTTGACATCTGATTTTGATATTTAGCGCGATTTGGCACCAAACCGTAGGCGCCAACCCAAATGCAAAATTTAGTCGCCGGGGGATCGAACCCTTAACAGTACCTTATGCTTCTTTTTTGGTACTGCTATAACCGTTCAGCGAAAATGAAACATGGTTTTGTGTTCCCTACATGCGTCCCTACAATATGCACAAACCGTTTTGAAAAAGCGTGGCTTGCCCTGAAAGACCCCCTTGTTAGTCCCAAGTTCGGTAACAGGCCACTCACTTCAACCTAACGATGAGCGCTGCAGCACGTTTAATTTCTTTTTTTTTCCATTGTAAACGCTTCCCGGCTGCCTATAGATTGAGTAAGCTGCGCGCGCAGTGAAACGTGGATAAGCCATGCTTCTGCCTTAGTCTAGATAATGACTGAGAGTTTATCCTAATGACATCAAATAGATAAATGTACGAAATCCGGCGAACGGAACAATAGGCACGATAGATGTACGAGATCCGGCGAACGGAACAATAGGCACGATACTCATAACAACCGAGTAAAGGCAAGGAATAATCATACAAAGAACTAAATAGCGAGAAAGGCACAAGCAAGGTAAAGGCGCAACAAACATGGTGACTAGAAACATGATCTCGGTAGGCCGGGGCATCGCCCTGAAGGATGGAAGAAGCAGGGCCCGAGCGTCCTCGGTCCGTAGATATGGTCGACTCCTCGAGCGTTCCAGCGGCCTTCTCGCCACGCCCTGAAACAATGCGATGAGTCACATGAAAACATTAAGATGCGCGCTTGCATGGCGCGGCTTACACCTCCCCCTTTACCAAAAGTCCGTCCCGGACTTTAAGAGAAAGAGAGGGGAAAAGGAACGGGCTCACCGAGGGTGTAATTCAGTGGCGTTTAAAGGCAAGATTCGGGATAAAATAGGTGTGGAAAAGCGTTCAGTTATGAAGCTAGAGGTGGGAGGTGGTCTGGAAAAGAGAAGGAAAGCAAACGAAACCACCGATTACGCCCCGCACAGAGACCTCCCCTATTTCAGCCGCATTCCACCTTGGGATAGAGAAGGGCGCGTTGGACGAGTTTCACGAACCTAACTCTAGTTGCTCCAGTGCCAATGACATTGGGTCGCAATGGGACCGCTGCCTCAAATGCGCCCGCGCTTTTCAAGCAGCGCCACGTGGCAACCGACAGCGGAGGGTGGGGCTTGCGGACGAAGGTGTGAGTTGCGGGTCGGACGAGCTCCTTGCGCCTTTGTCGCGCACTTTCAAGCGGCAAAAGGGGCGCGACATCAACGCTTGTCCGCCTGTCTACTACCCCGGGATGGAACAGGCGAGCGCGCCTAATCCCGGAGCGTGCCTTTAAGATATACGGGAAGCTGATCAGGGGTGTCGACGGCGTTGATTGAGTTGGCCCACTGTGGAAGGGTGCTCCAGCTGGGGGTCTACGGAAAACTTGAACTCAGCCCTTTAAACCGCCTCGATTTGACGCTCTCGCCTGCGCTCTCTCGCTTAACCAGCGCTTTATGATTACTGTGATCTTATGTATTCAAACTTTGCCACAATATAATTGGCTCACCACTCGGAGTCCCTCCTCCCTTCAAGGCTTAGTCCTAGAGCTCTCACCTTCTTGGTTGGGATTTGGAGCCGAGCCAGGCACCGTTCTCTAATCGTCTGTGCTCTGGCCTTTCAGAGAACATAGGGGAGAGTTCAAGTAGTCACGTAATCCAGCTAGGCACGGTGCGGAGCGAGTCGGCGTGCCCGAAGATGAACTGGCCATGGCGGCATCGAGATACGGCTACGTTGAGGCGTCGGTAGTCGTTGAGGAACTTCCGCGGAATCTGGAGAAAAATCGGTTTTAGTTGTAAGTAAAATGACAACCTCTTTTTCTCGTCCTTGCACGGAATCCACTGTGGTGAGCTCGACGTCGAGGTTGAACTGGACCAGCAGCTCCTTGATCTGGCGGTACTGCTCCCTGTAAAAAGTGATAACGCAGATACTACGCGCAGCGATCCCTAATTTTATGAGATGCTGGATGAAGCGGCGGCACTGCATGGCCTCATAGTCGTTGTAGTGCGACTTGCTAGGGGCGCGCGCCGACTCTCCCCTTTATGTTGATGAACATAAAGGGAATCTCCGGAGCTGGGAAACGCATGGCGGAAAGCAGGAGGCGACGGGACTCCGCCGGGGTACCGCTGACCAGAGACCCATCATATGCGATGCAGTTAGGCAGCGCAATGAGTGCTGGGTGAGAGCGGAAAGTGGTGACCAAGGGAGCCACCGGCACTGCGGGTGCGTGATGCAAGAGACTCATCACGCTGCGAGCCCCATGTAGGACCGGGCGGCCATGTTGAGGACCGGGTTGGCTGGAGTAACGGGACATTTGACGTGGGAGAGCGAGCGCTGGATGGAAAACGCCCGATGACAGGTAGCCAAAGCGTTTTTCGAGCCAATGCCCCGTGATGGCCCAATCGAAGGAGCACGGCCTTCCCGGGATCTGGGATGCCTTATCATCAATCACCATAAGTGAAAGGTCGGTGTAGGCCCTGAAAGATTCCCACGGGCCCCGTTGAGTTTAGGAGAGAAGAAGATTCTGGTAACTACCTGCAAATAGTTGATCGATTATTTGCTTGGATCGTACGCGGAAAACAATAGTGTCCTCCAAATATTGTACCACAAGGAAATAATACTAACCTATTAGAAGAAAGCTTAAGCACACTAAAACAAAATATAAAACAACAACGAGACAGGGAAAATTACCAATTATGAGTATAATAAACCACGTCAGACGAAAATGGATACACAACCGAAACACGCAGCAACACAGAATAGAACAATACCAAACGATTCAATAAATCAAGAAAAAAGCTGACCGATGACACACAGAGTGAGTGAGGAATCCCAGATAACCAAACCAACAAAAAACAAACAAAACAACAAACAACACAACCGACGAACGCAGGAGAAAAAAACAAAGAAGATGAAATAGAGACAAGGAGAGCAGAGAAAAAAGAAAAAGAGCAGTAGAGACGAAAGAACAAAGCGACACAAGAGTAGAAAATTGATCAAATAGGCTAAGATATTATGCAGCCATTGGCGTTTCCGATTGAGGCTGAGACAGTAAACATGAACTAATGACACAAAGAGTAGGAGACCAGGAAGTGGATAGGACAGAGGAGTAAAGGACCATATTTAAGAAACGCCAAAACGAACACCAGAAGCACAACGTACTAGCACACAGACAACACAACAACACAAGCCCTAGGAAAGGAAACCAAGGACACCCACGTCATATCCAGCAGAGAAGTAGACAGCCGGTAGTGGGATGAGCGAAAAACAAAAAAATGACGAGGGACGACGGAATCGATGCATAGGAGCGCGTCCCCGGGCAGTGCCCCGGGAAGACTGGAGCTGGCGAGAACACCCTGCCCTCTTACCTGTGTAGGGACAACAGGAGCTGGCCTGCGCTGACTGGGAGAGGAGCGCATAAGATGTCGGTCAGACTCTGCGATCGCATCGCAGTCGCTCTGCCTAGAGCGATTGCATCGCGCGATGCAGTCGCTCTTGCAATGTGCACAAGCGACGGGCGATTGGCCCCGCCCACATCGATGCAGTCGACATCGGTATCGATCGCGGCGGGCCATTGCCCGCCGCTTGCACTTTTGGCAGAGCGATTGCATCGCGCGATGCAATCGCTCTAGGCAGAGCGACTGCATCGCGCGATGCAATCTCAGAGTCTGACCGACATCTAACCTTTGCCGGAGGGATAAAGAGGAGACCGATGCCGGAGCATGTGGCGGCGTAGGCGGTGCCACCTCCGTGACAGATAGGTGCTCCATGGATGAGGTCATACTTATCACCGAGTCTTCGTCGGATTCTTGGGGGAGCTCCTTCTCGCTGTGAAACTTACGCTGAGACGCAGCAAACGATGACGACGCAGCTGAGTGCCACTTACTGCGTGAGGCGATCTCGGCGAAGGTTGCTGAAAGGGTGGCTTCCGAAGTGGAAGTTTGTGCCATGGTGGGCTCTGTAACAGTTCCTGAAACCGAAGAGGATACAGTGGTACTGGCGGCCTCCGTAAGAGGACCAGACACAGCGGTCTCGGAGGTGTCCATTGCGGACTCTTCCTTGACTATGGCCGCTGTACAACTAGTCTTGGTGGCAGCCGCATCGCGACTAAGAGAGATATTCTTGAGAACAGCCGCATTTCGACTCAAAGAAATAGACGTGGAATCAGTCGCATCGCAACTAGGAGAGATGATCATAGATTCAGCCGCATCGCGACTAGAAGGCAAAGAGTACCTGCGTTGGACGTCCGGTGCGGCGCCCGGGTCTGGAGGGGACGATGAGTCGTCCATTACCAAGACACAAACCACAGAAAACAACAAGCGGGTTTCAACAATTACCTGGAAAAACGACCGTTGAGAAATAGGGGCGTGTGCAACAAAATGGGAATACGCCGTGCGAGAAACTTAATCATAAAATAGGGTAAATGAATAAATCATAAATGCATGCAACGAAATGTTTACAAAGGAAAGTTTATGAAGCACCTAAAGCGAACGAAAGAAGGGAGAAGTGAGGTGCGAATAAATTCTGAAACGAAATAACCGAAGACTGAAGAGTTTGCTAAGCACCATGAATGGGCGTACCATCCTAGAAAAACAACAAGCACGCGAGATCATGGCATTTGATGGTGCATGATCGGCGAATGTGTTCGCGTAGAATGTAGACAAAGAAGCCCGTCTTGAACCAGCGGAGAAAAAAGGTTAGAGCTGTGAGAACAGCAAGCATTAGGAAAAAAATGGCAGAAAACGAAATGTTCGTAGTTTCTGACCAACCGGTCTAAGTGAGGTTCTTCGCGATATGAAATGAGTGTTATAGGAAATGGGATGGCGGATTGGGTGAAATTGCCGAGGCATCCGGCGTCAAATGCTCAATCACCGTATGGGTGTGACCAGCTATAGGTTCGTCGGGAGCTTCTACGGCCGCGAGAGTCAGCTCCTCGACCTCAGGGATCCAGGGAGTGGTGAAAACTAGATCAGATAGAAGCTGACGGGGTTTCACCTGGTTTATGTGGATCTTTTCAGGAGATGATTGGGGCGAAGAAGTGCTAACGATGGTTAAGTGGG